CAAGAGCAGGGTTGTCAGATTAATACAGGAAGCTAGTAGCTCACTGAAATTCTGGCATTAAAAAAGGGTATTTCCCTTTCTTGCAGTGTTTTGAAAGAGACAAAACATGGGGAAATGTGCATGTATTCTCAAGATGTACTGACTATTTTTAATTTTGCCCAGACATACACTTTTAATGCTGAAAATCACATCATGTAAGTGCATGTTAATTAACTAGACAAGCAAATATCAAAAAGGGTTCCATGGAACCCTAGGGTTTCTCCAAAGGTTGCTAGGGGCTCCTTGAGTGTTTTCCATTTGATGGTGCCTACAAAGTTCTAGGGCCATGTCACATGGGAAAGGCATAACTGACCACAGACCAAAGAAACATTTTTCTCTCACTGACCACAATGCAAGGACACCCTTTTCTCACTCACCCCTAATGAAATGGTGCATTTTTTTTCACTGTCCCACCAATGTAATGGGGCATTCTTCCTCTGATGGACTACATATGCAAGTATGCCCTTTTCCCTATCACCCTTAGTGAAATGGTGCATTCTTCCTCTTATTGAGCACCAATGCAAGGAGGCATTTCTCCAATGACCACCAATGCAAGGAGGCATTTCTCCAATGACCACCAATGCAAGGAGGCATTTCTCCAATGACCACCAATCCAAGGAGGCATTTCTCCAATGACCACCAATCCAAGGAGGCATTTCTCCATTGACCACCAATGCAAGGAGGCATTTCTCCATTGACCACCAATGTAAGGAGGCATTTCTCCAATGACCACCAATGTAAGGAGGCATTTCTCCAATGACCACCAATGTAAGGAGGCATTTCTCCAATGACCACCAATGTAATGGAGTGTGTGTTTTTTGAGCCATGACTATAAAATCTGTTAAATTGATTTTGTGATTGTTACTAAAATGTATTTTATATAGAGCATTCTAAAATTAGCCTCATTTGATGCCAAATTATATAACACATTTTGTATTCTTTTGTTTATTTTATCTATAACCGCTTGACCTTACTATTAAACCGTGAACTGTAGATATTTTTTTGTACGGGTTCCGCGAGACCTGTAATTATCTCAAGGGTTCTTCAGGGCTAAAAAGGTTAAGAAAGGCTGAAGTTGACTACTACTGCAAACTATGGATGCAATGTTTGTGCAGCTATGGCTGAGTTGTTTGTCTGATCCATGAAAATAAAGTGGAAGTTCTGAATTTAAACAATTATCTGTACATACAGGATCAATCAACACAATTATATGTAATCTCACAAGATGCTTTAGTGAATGAACCCCAGGACCAGAGCAGGAAGAAACTGCTTTAGGTCATCATTACTTATAGCTGTTTAAAATGCAATCCCTTTACCAGGAAATCAATATTTAATTTCCAGGTTTGTCCTGCGCTATAAGGCAAAAGACAAAGAAAGAACATATTATTGTCAATATTGCAGAGAAGTAGAAGCACCTTTTTGGTATTTAATACAGGAGTGTTATTCTTGAAGGTTTACAGAAAATTGGGGTTTATTGATGAGCAGAAAATTAGAAGTCACTTATAGCTACAATATGTGCGAGTAAAATTATAAATCAAAAACAACCATTGGCATTGCATTTCATCTATACCTGTAGATGTCTTAATACTAGTTTGTTTTTTGTCGTCTTTTACTAATAATCTCAACTCAAGGAAACCTGGGAATATGTACATTACCATTACTTACTAACATTCAGAAAATGATCATTTATTGTCAACCCCACTGATCCAGCAGCATCAATATTTTTAAATAAAACAAGTATACAGATTTAACTTTGCTGGTTGCATGCTTGCTCCAAGTCAGTGACTTGAAAAGGATTAAAAGCAGAGAGTCTTGCAACTAGTATTTTTAGCAGGTGGTCATTAATGGCAGCCTTTATATTTCTTTCTATACGTACAGGTTAAAAAGGGCACATAGCAGCACGTGCTTTCTTCATTGAGCATTAAAGCATACACCATAGGAATGCACCGATACTAGTATCGGTGCCGATACTGAGTATTTGGGCGAGTACTCGTACCTCGCCCAAATGCTCTGATACCTTTCCCCGATACTGGAACTACTGGTCAGAGGAAGATTTCTTTTGACCGACAGTACCGTGAGGGAACATGGATTCGGGAAGCCAAATCAGTGTCGAGCCGGGCAAACAAATCTGATAAAATGGCGACACCACCCCCACCCTGCAGACAAATCATTCCCCACACATAGAGCCTTAGCAGCAGTCATTATCGCACAAGTCCCCCGGCCAGCTGGGCAGACACCGCTCTCCAAGCTCTACGGGATCTGCCACGTCTCCTGTGTGCACAGCACGTGATCAGCCCTCAGCTTGCTACTGCGCATGCACAGGATTTCTGAATGAGAGCACTGGGCAGTCTGCTCATGTGCAGCAGCAGGCTGAGGGCCGATCATGTGGGCGCTGTACACATAGGAGAGGTGGGCAGATCCGGGAGAGCTGTGTCTTCCCACCTGGCCAAGGGACTGGTACGGTAATGACTGCTGTTAAGGATCTATGTGAGGGGAATGAGGTGCCTACAGGGTTGGGGGTCATGTCACCATATTGTCAGATCTGTTTGGCCGGCCTCGATGCAGATTAGCATCGAGCCAGCCAAACAGAATGGAGTCGGCTTCCCGGGCAATCAAGAAGCCGGGTGGTGGGTAATGACACGCCTCCTGGCTCCCTGAGTGCCCGGGAAGTCGGCTCTGTGCTCCCGGAAGTACAGGTACTCGGTGTCGGCGAGTACCAAAATATAAATATCAGTACTCGATGCCGAAAAACCGGTATCGGTGCCTCCCTAATACACTATATTGCCAAAAGTATTTGTACGCCTGTATAATGACGCCTGCCTTTACACGCACATGTACTTTAATGGCGTCTTAGTCCGTAGGGTTCAATATAGAGTTGGCCCATCCTTTTGCCGCTATAACAGCTTCAACTTTTTTGAGAAGGCGTCCACAAGGTTTAGGAGTGTGTCTATGGGAATGTTTGTGAGGTCAGGTACTGATGTTTTGGACGAGAAGCCTTGGCTCGCAGTCCCCGCTCCAATTCATCTCAAAGGTGTTCTATGGGGTTGAGGTCAGGACTCTGTGCAGGCCAGTCAAGTTCCTCCACCCCAAACCCGCTCATCCATGTCTTTATGGACCTTGCTTTGTGCACTGGTGCGCAGTCATGTTGGAGCAGGAAGGGACCATCCCCAAACTGTTCACACAAAGTTGGGAGAATTAAATGGTCCAAAATGTCTTGGTATGCTGATGCCTTACGAGTTCCCTTCACTGGAACTAAAGGAGCCAAGCCCAACACCATAATCCCCCCTCCACCAAATGTCTACACTTGGCACAATCCAGTCAGGCAAGTACCATTCTCCTGGCAAATGCCAAACCCAGACACGTCCATCAGATTGCCAGCCAGAGAAGTGTGATTCGTCACTCCAGAGAACACGTCTCCACTTCTGTAGAGTCCAGTGGCGGTTTGCTTTACACCACTGCATCCAACGCTTTGCATTGCACTTGGTGATGTAAGGCTTGGATGCAGCTGCTCGGCCATGGAAACGCATTCCATGAAGCTCTCTATGCACTGTTGTTGTGCCAATCTGAAGGCCACACGAAGTTTGGAGGTCTGTAGCTAATGACGCTGCAGACAGTTGGTGATTTCTGCATGCGCTGACCCCGCTCTGTCATTTTACGTGGCCTACCACTTCGTGGCTGAGTTGCTGTTGTTCCCAGTTGCTTCCACTTTGTTATAATAATACCACTAACAGTTGACCGTGGAATATTTAGTAGCAAGGAAATTTCACGGATGGACTTATTGCACAGGTGGCAGCCTATCACGGTACCACGCTTGAATTCACTGAACTCCTGAGAGCGACCCATTCTTTCACAAATGTTTGTAGAAGCAGTCTGCATGCCTATGTGTTTGATTTTATACACCTGTGGCCATGGAGGTGATTGGAACACCTGAATCCAATGATTTGGAGAGGTGTCCCAATACTTTTGGCAATCTAGTGTATATAAATGGAGTGACATATTGTATCAACCAATAGCCATGGTTTTTAATAAAATACTTATTTTTACATGTTTTAACCTTTGTGTGCAGCCTATTTGCATTCACCTTTTGTCTACATCCATGCACTTATATATGGCAGTTGTGTGTCATCTCTCAGGACAGTTTTTCTGATGGTGACAACAGTGGAGCATGTCTTTGTAATGTGGATCGGCTTAGCCACTTGTAGCCTCCATTGGAAGAACATGTAACAGGGTGACAACACAGGAAGGCAATTGGGAGACAGGGACAGAGCGTTGTCAAGAACTAGTGTAGTGATGTGTAGACCTTTCGGTCAGATTCACTGCACAGGAGGAGGGTCCTCCTTCACTGGCTGGGTGATGGACAATTCCAATTGTCTTTTTAGTGGCAGGGTCCTCTCAGTCACAAATGCACAATGATGTCATAAAGGGGCAAAATGTTGGCACAGGAATAGATCACAGAGCTGGATCAGTCGTTGTTTTTTTTTTAAAGCCTAAAATAGCCTTTCAGGTGTAGTCCTGTGCGTTCCAGGTCGTTTGCATGCATTTTGGTGCGTTCCAGAGCAGAAACAAAAAATGGCTCCACATGCTCTGGAACTAAACGATGTGAACCTAAAATATCATTGGAATACATTGGATGCACTTTTGATCCGTTCTTAAACTGCTCTGCACTTGGTGTGAACAAGCCCTTAGACAGAATGCAGGGGAATCCTTGATGCTTTACTTGTTCTCAGTCCTGGTCTGCATACATGTCGCTCTGTACTCTAACAGTGCAGACTGACAATGTAAACAAACCAATGTAACCACTAGCCTGTGCTTGCAAAACAAGTAAAAGGAAAGAAAAACCAGAGGACGTAAAATATTTGCTTTGACTCTCTGAATCAGGACTATAACTGTATTTTATGTACAAGCTCTTGTAATGTCCAGTTTAATTAGGAATTGTCCAATACAGTAAAAAGGTCACTTACTTCTTCCTCCCTAATCTTAAGCTTTCTCTTTTCCTCCACAGCAGCTCTTTTCTGATCCTCCCTCAGCCGCTGCTCCTCCAGCTTCTTCCATCTTTCCTCAATCTGTTTCTCATACTGTAGTTTTGCTCTTCTTTCCTTTTCTAGTATCTGTTGATCTCGGACAGCTACAAAACAAACAGGAAGAAAAAAATAAAATGGCAAATATTTTAAATTTTTTTTTTTAAAAAGAAGTAGCACGGGTTTTGGGACTACCCCCTCAAAACTAGAAGAGTGTACTGTATGGCGTGGCGCTGGTCACATCTACTACGGGAAAGCTGTGCAGAAAAGCCATGGATGACCAGCAAGGAGCACAGTGATGCTACCCCAAATACAATCTGATTGTACAATCGCCTTTAGACTTTTCAAGCTATGTAATATAAGGACAAACCTAAACAATTTTATTGAATTGGAATTAAAAATCGGGTAGACCCTTGTGCCACATAGTTCATGGTAGCATTACCGTACTGGGACAAAAAATAGGCCCTGGCATTTTTAGACTGAGGAGCCCAATCACGTGACCCACGACAGGCTCTGCCGTGCCGCAATCTGGGGGTGGAGCCATACACGGAATGGGCAATCAAGGGGCAAGACCAGCCGCTGGCAAGTACAAGAGGGCTACAGCCCACACAAATGTTTTGCTATAACCAGTATACAAACCTTGCAATATAGAAAGCTTGCTACAGAGAAGTCTTCAGCGGATCTACGAGTCCCCAGCCGTCCTCTGCACTCAGAGCACGGTGTACAGGTCGGTGCTCCCAAAAGAGTTCTCACAGTTCTCCAGCAACACCGGCACAATACCACCTAATCCATACACAGAAGAACCACAACACTGCACTGACAGCTTTTGGCGGGCCTTTCGAAACGGAGACTCTATTGGCTGGGAAGTTTGCTGCAATAGGTCATTTCTGCTCCACATTGAAAGCTTTATGTGTAGCAGAGAATGCTTATACTCAGTTGGATGCTCGCAGAATGTAGAGCAATAAAAATGCATTAGAGATTATATATATCTATCTATCTATCTATCTAGATATATCTATATCTATATATATCGATCACAGGGCTCAAAATTTCAAGTCCTGAGCTACTAGCCAGGCCTTAAGTTACTAACCACCAGTTGCCCCACCTAACCCTTACCCTGGCCCGGCCTCAACTCCACCCCTAAACACACTCTCTTAAATAATCTTATGATGATTCTTATCTTATGATAGTTGCCGCTTGTAAACGGCAGATTAGGGATTCCTGCTGCAGGAAAACGCAAGTTCCTGACACAGGAATCCCTAATCACACCTGAAATATACTGTAGGTGTGAATGGGGCCTAATATACACATACACTAAAAGGTGTCCATACACCTGCCGATTATCGTACGATAATCGCGGGTGATCCTGCAATCGTACGATAATCGACAGGTGTAGAGCTGCAGCTAACAATTATTTTCAAAATCGATTAGTTAGCCGATTATTAAGTTCGATTAATCGGTTAATCGGATAAACTATAAAATAAAGTTTACAAAATGGCTCCAGTGATAGGACTACTGGTTTGTATTGAGGTTGTAGTCCATCACAGGAGAAAGCTTGGACCGGTGGAAGTAAAAAAGAAAAAAAGATAGTGTGGTGTGCAATATAGTGAAATGTAAATTGTAAAATTATACAGCAATGCATGCAGAATGGCAACGGCTATAGAGGACTACAAAACCCAGCAAAAGCAAGGAGGTCTGCAGCAGATCTCACTCATCACACAATCTTTAGGCCAGAGCTCAGAACTGTCAGAGCTCCGGCCGAAGGAAGCCAGAGCTTACAGGGGCAGCTCTGCGGTCTGCATCCAACACAGATGCAGACTGTGGTGCTGCTCCCGCAAGTCAGGTACGCGGTCTGCGACCGTGTGCCTGACATGTCAGCTGTCTGCGGGTCACATATTACCGGCTCGCGGACCGGAGTTGGACTGCGGACCGGTACTTGGAGACCCAAATTTCCACTTGCCCTCACTTTATTTATACTCGCCAAATGTGAGCAGGCGATTGGAAATTTTGAGCCCCAATAGATCATATACATTACACACACACACACACACACACACACACTATGGACTCTATCGGTGGAACATACAGTACAGGCTTTATAGGGGACAGGCAGGTATAGGATCAATACATGGGTCTATGATGGTGGAATAATATCAGCTATAGAGGACTAAAAATCCAAGCAATACATTATATAGCAACACTAGTGTACTTTCATACTAATGCAATTACCTAAATTTGACATGGTTATTTAATTTCTTGAAACTTTGATTAAAATGGCTATATTACATTAAAAACTTGTATTAACCCTTGCAGTAGGGCTACCCCCGCACCGCAAGGGTTATCTGCTTATTTTCGTTTAGGTGGTAAAATAAAAAGGTTATACTCACCCAAACCTCAGAGTTGGCCAGCTGTCCCAGCACCATCTCCAGCCTGCCTCCTCCAATGCTGTAGCAATGGTATGTCCATTGGTGTCTTCATGTCCTATACACAGTGTATTGGACGTGATGACTCAAGGATCCTTAGACAGCTGCAGCAGAAAGGGAGAGAGGCTGTGGGGACCGGTCTAAGAGCAAGCTGGCTCTGACTATCGGGTGAGTAACTTTTATTTTAGCACCTAGATGAAAATAAGCAATTAACCCTTATATTGCAGGGTAGAAACACTGCAAGGGTTAATAAAATTTTGTAATGGTTTAGGTACGATTTGGCCTGGCATTAGCCTCTTGTAATCTGCAGGTTAGAACTCAGACTAGGAGAGAATGGCCGCACTAGGGACCAATCCAGTGTACTGTATGCATATGGAAAAACAAGGTACCTTGTGTAGGAGAACAGAGTGTTGGGATGAGCACATCAGTCTCCTGCTGGTCTTTCCCTGAAATTGTGACCAAGAATAAAAAAAGCCCTGTGCTCTCACTGAAAATCTACACTGATCACTAAAGCTTGTAAATATATAACGAAAAAGTGAATCTTAAATTACGGATGCGCCGATACCATCTTCTCCAGCCCGAGTGCGAGTACGGATACTTTTTCTCAAGTACTCGATAACAATTACCAATACTTTTTTTAGTGTCATGCTACAGTTTTTCTTTAACAATACAGACTAATGATTTTAGGACAATGGTGACGTGCCAGAGCCTGTTTGCAGCGGGACTACAAATCCCAGCAATACATTATACAGCAATGCAGAATACCACAAGCTATAGGAGGACTACAAACCTCAGCAATGCATTATACATCAATGCAGAATAATGTGAAGCTCCATACTCTATGCTGCTTCGGGGTGCCGGCCTGATGTCTCCAGCGGATGGTCTCAGGTGGCTGTGGGGGTCTCAGGAGGGCTATGCGGGGTTCTAGATGGCTGTGTGGAGTCTCAGATGGGCTATGTGGGGGTCTATGGTGGGCTGTGCGATCTCTCAGATGGGCTAGTCAGGTTCTATGGTGTGCTTCCTTTCCAAGAAACTCACCATATGTGACCCCTCTCCCTGCCCACTGAGGGCCCACTGCTCCCACCCTCACCCCACCTACGGCCCCCTCAGTTGGCTGCCTGTGCAGTGCTCAGTGCAGGTCATCAGCTTAGCAGCTGAGCCGAACCAAACACATCTGGGCCTAAGGCTGATTGTCTCTGCCCAACCTGCCCCACCAGGCAAATGCCCGGTCTGACCAATGACCAGTCTGGCCCTGGATGAGAGATATAAAGAAGATTGTATAACCAGATTGTAAAGTGTACAGTCACCTTTAGTGTCACTGGAAAATATATCCCGACTGTATGATTTCCCCTCACCTCTTTCTCTCGTGACAACTTTGGACTCCCCCTCACTTTCTATTATGGTGACAATGGTCACATGACAAAAGTGAGGGTGACTCTCCCCAACAGGGATGCAGATGGCAATAAAAACCTCCATTATAGATACTGAATGCAAATAAAGTGTCTGTCTGCAATAGCACTCAGTTAGCTTAGTTAGAACCTTACTTCCAAAACAGCAGATAAAAAATAATAGGCAGAATCTACAACTAGAATACAGCCCTACTTGCTCCTGAGATTATTGCTGAGATATTAATATATAACATTTGTTGGAAAGCATCACAAAATATTTCCACTGACTTTCCCGACTCACCGAGACATTTTTCTCTTTCTTCTCTTCTTTCTTTTGCCAACCTTTGTCTTTCATCTGTCTTGAAAAGGCTATCCATAACTTTAAAAAAAACAAAAACAAAAAAAACACATAAATATACTTAAAACCTAACAAATAATGCACACAAAATCAATGAAGGCAATTAATCCATATACATAGCGCCAGAGTTCAGAATCAGACAAAATAACCTTGTATGTGGCAGATGAGAACACGGCCATTTGGATCATTTTTTGATGTGTAGCCACTCCCGTCTCTACCCTTGTTCATTCACAAAAAGCCCTGTAATCTGCTCACAGGATGG